ATGTAGTTTTTGCGCAAAAATTGAAATATTCTAATTATACTAAATTTCGGTGTTATTAGCAGTTACTATCACTTTTCAACACATTTGTGTCATTATTTCACATTTTTTTCGTATATTTTGTCCGTTCAAACAGTCCTTCTTCAGTTCCCGGTGCCACCGGTTTGCTCAGGCAGGACAACAAAAACAACATACAGGGGTTGCCCCCTGGGGTGGCTAATTGGCCCGGGCATGCCAGGCTTGATAGACAGGGGCAGATGTCACAAGATATAACAGTTACCCTCCTTAGAAAAAACTCATATCTTTCACATGAGGTGGAATATAATTATCAACTTAAAGTATTTTGTTGGGCATGAATAAACTGTGGTCATTATCCCATCAAAAGAGATAAAAAATCTGGTAAACGATTAGGTATTTCAGAAACTGGTAAGCTATCAACTGACACCCCACTGGGATGTAGGTCAAACCACTGGCAGTGGGCAATACCATATGTACGGTGTGGCCTGGTGTGGCCAGAGGTTGAATAGAAGATCATTCACAGTTTTCTAAGCTTCTAAGGAGCAAGGATGTTGTATTTTTTGCTGTGGAGTATAATTTTGGAATACTAATGGGTTAAGCCAATGTACTATGTAAAGAAAAGAATAAAAAATATACTTTTTGTATTGTCAAAAAACTACATAGAGTGACTTTAAGGAAAAGAAGGTTCAACATATGTTTTGTGATATAAGCGGTTTTGAACCACAAGAACCCCAGTTATTGACAATTCTATGTTTCAGCCAGCATATTTTAGTACCAGCATACAGTATTATCTGGGCAGGGTTAGGCGAGAACTCCCACTGAGATGTGCGCGGGTGACTGCATTTGTCCCAGATTCAAGCTATAAACCACTTGTAAAAATCTCAGCACGACAAATTTTTGATAGCTGTTAATAGGGGCACATGGAGGGGCAGCAACACCATTTTTGAAAAGAAGTGCTCCTGCCTGTTCGAGTACTGGCAGATCTTCGGTGGCTAATGGACACTCCTCTGGCCAATGGATACTGTCTTGCCACTGAAAGATCTGCTTGGAGATTATTACAAATCACAACAATCATTATGTTACATATTTTATTACACATTTTACTGCTAAGACGAGATGTAATATGGCAAGAAATACATTTTTCAAATTTAAATGTTTTGAATTTGTATCGTGTAGTATAAATGTTCTTTCAATACATCTCTCCTGCTCCAGGGGTCTCCAGCTCATAACTTCGACATAAATACAAAACTCACAGATGTTCATTGCCCAATCAAAAGACTTCTTCCAGTGGAGCCACAACAAACATTTGACTGCTGTACAGTTATAAAATTGATTATCAAAATTGCAGGTGTGATTTATTAGATAATGTTATCTGTGTATATATCTTGTTCTAACTATTTATTGTCATATGTCCAGGTGTGTGTTACCGTGTGCACGTTATCAGCATACTTGCTGCCTAGTGCAACACTTTGTATTTTCTAGTTACAATTGTAAATAAATACGTTCTTTTCAATTCAGAGAACGAAACAAAGACCTTTCAACAAAAGACGATCGTCTTTCGACTGAAATGTGAAGAATCTTCCGATTGTTCCGAGGTAAGCTCTGTCGCCGTGTCGCCCTGCAACGAAATATTCCTAGCTGACACCTACAACAGGCAGGTTCAAGTCTTCAGCATGAAGGGCGTCTACCTCCGCCGTTTCCCCACCGTCACGTCAGGGGAAAACTCCGAGACGTTGAAACCCCATGACATCTCCATCGACGGGGAGGGCCATGTGTGGGTAGTTGGGAATGCGGACAGAATGTCAGGGTTTATTGTTCGATACACTAAACTTGGAAGTCACCTTACAACACTCCGCGCAACGTTCAGCAATAATTCTTTCTCCGGCATGACTGTGGACACACTTCGTAATCTTGTCGTAGCGACAGAGTACTGGTGGGGTTATGGGGAAGTCAAGCTTCTGCATTTCAATGGTACTGTTGAGCACAAGTTTCGGGTGCAGCAAGGTTCGGGGTACCCCGGGTTGGTCGCTGTGGGACGGGAGGGAAACCTGTTTGTGTCAGACAGTATGGGAGATGCACGTGTCCATGTCTATAACAACAGGAGTCAGTACCTTTACAGCTTTGGGTGTGACGACATCGATGAGGGTCAGGCAGAAATCGGCCTGGGCCAGGCAAAAATGGGCGAGGGTCAGACGGAACTAGACCTGGGTCTGGCAGGAATGGGCGACGGTTATGCAGAAATGGGCGAGGGTCAGGCAGAAATGGGCGAGGGTCAGGCAGAAATGGGCGAGGATCAGACGGAAATCGGAGATGGTATAACAGAAACCGACGACAATGAGGCAGACGAAGTCATGGGAATCTGTACAGACGGTTCAGGAAACGTTCTGCTACTCCGGATAGGCGGGGCGGTAGACATGTTTACAGAAGACGGGCGGTACGTGCGCCGCGTTGTTACCAGTAGAGCTGGCGGTGTGGCAGTAGCCCCCGGTGGACAACTGGTAGTGACTGATTTTGACACCAGTAATATCACAATATTCTATCAGTACTGAGTGCTGATCCATTTGGATATATTAATTAATTTATACATAGTCCTGTTGTGACACCTAGTCTACCTTGAGTAGTTTATTGGCACGTTTTCATTCGTGCTGGTCTCGGCACCATGTAGACCTGTATCATTATCTACATTAGGCCACACCAATTTAATTTGTTGGTTTTCGGATTTTTTCTTGAAAAATATGAAGCGACAGGGCGGAAAAAAAGCTCTTAAGTCTGATGGTGAAGCCAGGGCTGGAAGGATGGGCCCGGGGCTCTTGTGAACATGACAAGTTACAGAAAGCAATAAAAGACGATACACATTATACATATTAGTATACTGCTATGTATATAGCTCTTTTAAAAGCTTATGTGGATTTTGTTATCAAGTGGTATCAATAAATGTACTTTTCATAATTCATTTTATCAACGTATAATGGCAATTATTATAGTACTTTCATGTAGAATATCATCATTAATCATGGTGTTGGTCATCAACAATCCCGGATTGTAACTGTTATATTTACTAAAAAATAACAAAACGGAGAATCAGACGACAGTCTTCATTTTCATCTTCTATTCATTGAACTAAAAAAAAAAAAAAAACAGTAGTGATGAAGTGCACTTTCAGAACATGTTTATGTAGACTGTTGCAACTTCTGATAAGAAATCATACGCAAAATAAATTTAAAAAAGTGTACAGAAGGATATATTGACCAGGATTATTTTTTTCTGATTACTAAAATACTTCAGACTAATTTCGGGTTCGCCATTAATATAGTTCATCAAGGCAAACCCCCTAATGCAGACATTCTGTGGAGATTCCAAGAATTTCAACGCATGTGTAACCCACATTCAGACAACATCACAAACAGTGGCTTTCTCCATGATCAGTTTCTCGCTTCTTGAAGCCTACATTCCTAAATTTACTTCGAAGAAATTCTAGGGAACTTCCTTTCACTAACAGCGGCCATCTTGCATGTCTTGAAAGACTGCAGAAAAAGCCCTTCTATTGGTTCCCATACATCACATGACCAACTGCTAAGAGAGACACCTACCATCTCTTGATAAAACTGCGGTCTCCAGGTTTTTTTTGTGACGGTGAGCTCACTACCCTAATTGTGTGTATTTGTCTGTCTGTGAAATAGACGGGAAACATAGTTTTCGGAGCTTGCGAAGAAGAGAACGTTATCTTCCTTCATGACCTCAATAAAGAGTGTTGTAGGCCGATTTGAGGCCCCTATATAGAAATACAGATAAAAAGCGGTAGAGTAAAAAAATACGTAATTAAAATTAAACGGGCATTGGGCATAGTTTTTTTTTAAAAATCTACAGATGGCATACAGATAGTAGCAATCGTGCTATTCGCCAGCTAAAATATTTACAGACGTGTACACAATATATCCATTAATTTAAACATTAAAGTTCCAATCGATTGCCCCGCACATAGCAATTAATTACAGAATCTTCTGTTGCGTATTCATAAGTTTCAGCTATAGACTAGACTAATCAGCATTTAATCGGCGTGACAAATTATTGTGATGATTGTCTACTGACCCCATGGGATATAATTAGTCTCCATTCATATTTATGTACAAACGGGTACAATAAAACCATAGCAGCCTGTAACAAATCACACAAAAAATCATAAACAGATTTTTATTCGGTCCGTACGGTTTTAGGAGCTCCAACGTTACTGGTGATATTGTCAGTGCGCATGAACATCACTGCTTTGACTCCGTCATACGAT